GTATGTTTCTCTCCAATGTTGGGATATATATGTGGGTGTGTTTTCAACTTCAATAATTCCTTGCCCAGGCAGGGGTGGTGGGGAATTTCTGGGAGTTGAAGTCCACACATCTTAAAGTTCCCAAGGTTGAGAAACACTGGTTTAGACACAAATTTACACTTATTTTCTGTGCAGAAAGGACACCAGATCACATTGGCTAAGTAGTACAGTATAGCTTATGTAGTGTCATGTAGTGTAGTATATTATAGATATAGTACAAAACAGACAACTTCCCATGAAACACTTAAAGGACCATAGTTAGGGCAATTCTCAGGCATCTAATGCCTGATAAGATTGGAGATAAGATTGGAGATAAGATTGGAGCAGTTGAGAAAAAATGCAAATTAATGAATGAAAGTGTTAAACCATGTAAAAGGCTATGCTGAAACTGGACAAAATGTATGTTGAAATGGCTTCTATCTATGATACTGGCATTTTCTAATATATATAATATTTATTTATTTATTTATACACACACACACATACACAGAGTATATCCCAGTATTGTTCAACAGCTTGTCTTCTGATAGTAGAATCATAAGTCACTTCTTTAGGCATTTGTAAGGAAGGTGGTTTAGATATGAAAAAATCAGAGTAGAAACATACATGTGTCATTAATGCACACCCTTTCTTAATTGTGAATATCGTTTCGTAACTGAAAAAGAAGCATTTTTTAAAATCTTCTCCCTTTCACACTGAGCAAGATTACTATTATCTAATAGTAAGGCTAAATCCCAGGCTAAATTGGAGTGAACCAAATATCCAGAAACAGAAGTAAGTTGAGTACTGCCCTGTGTTCTTCCTCCACAATAGGGTTCCTGTTTTGATGATGAAGATGATTTCTCAGATGCAACTGATGTTCCTAATTCACTGTTTCTTTTTGAAACTCCCACTTTCTTTTATATAAATGTGAGACCAAAAATGGCGATGTCTTATGTCTTGATAAAATAAGTTGTATGGTGATAGTATCACTGGTTTTTTTCCCCCCTTTTTCCTTCCTTAAATAGTATCACATTTGGGCAAGAAATAGTTTGTGTTACTGGACCAAACAACAGGAAAGGGCCTGTTTCTGTAACTTTACAACATGGAAACACCAAAAAAGAAATAGAAAATGTACAATTTACCTATAGTGAAAACCCTACTGTTAGCAAGATCACCCCTGAAGTCAGCATTCGCAGGTAATAAAATGTTTCTGTTATAAAGATTTGTTCGGGTTTAATGAGATGAGATTATAGAGTTTTTTTCCCAGGGTAATTATTAGATAACTACTACCTTAGGTCTCAGCAATCACAGTAAATGTAACATAATTGTATCTTTCTTCTAAAATAAAAGTCATCAACTTCAGGGAAGGTAAATGTTTTCATCCGTTTAAGAATTAATGAAAAATTTATCAGACACTCATGTGACTACTTACTTCATCTGAAAAAAGAAAAATTACTGATTTACCAAATTAAACCAAAATGTTCAATATTATCTTTAACATAGGGAGCTCTTTAAACTGCATTAACATTGGCCAATATAGTTCAGTTCTGTTTACACTAGACAGCAGTGCTTCCCCAACACTTTAGCTTAGAGTTTTTACCAATTCTGTCTGGAGATAGAACCTAGAAATATGGGTGATCATCAGAAGAATAGTTGAGGTTAATTTATTTGTGTTGCAACTAGAAAAATACCTTGTCCAGGTTTGCCTGGCTGTTTTAAATTCTCTGCTTCATAGTTTTAAGTTTGTTTTTCTGATTAGTGAGAGCCAGATTTGTTGCTGGAGAGCATAATAACCACAAAACAACTCTATGCAGGCCAGGAGCAGGGATACAGTTGGATACATTCTTCACCAACCACAGACCATAGTTAATATGTCATACTAGCTTGTTCCCAATTAGGTGGACTCCAGCTACACCATACCTTTATAGCCAAGTAGCTTTTTGGCTTATTGAAGGAATATCTGCTCCTTTTACCAATGGTGATATACAGTGACGCAAGCAATCAGTAACATAGTAAACCAGGTTATGATATCATACACAGGGGGAAAGACTCATAATTTGTTTTTTAGCTATATTATGTTACTGAGTTTCTGTCACAGGAAAAAGAGCAAAAAGCTGGCATACCATTATTTTGAAAACTTCATTATTATTTTTCTTTGATGGTGCAGATTTAAAAAAAGAAAGAAAGTTGCGTGATAAAATAACATAGCTAAAAACTAAAAAGGGGGGGATTTAGAAAGTACATTTCATGAGTCTCTTCTGTCATCTACACACAAGATTCAGTTTAGAATAAAAGCAAGGTAGACATTTTCATATAAAACTGTCTAAAAACAGAAAGCATACATAATGTGGTTTTTGATTTTGTATATTTTAGTGGAGGACGAAATATTACTGTACTTGGTGCTGGTTTTAATATCATTCAGAAGTTCTCTGTAGAAGTTAAGTTCAAGCCTTTTGCAGATATATCATCAAGGAGGAGGAGGAGGAGACAAACAGAGAGACAGCAAAAGGTATGACTTATCCTTTGTTTCAAAATACAGTCTGGCTCTGGGATGGGCAGCTTGGGGTCCTCCTGATGTTTTGAACCATGCATCCATTATTTAGAGCTAGTGGCAAACGGTCAGGTATTTCGAGGATTATAATCAAAAGAATCTAGAATTGGTTATTCCTACTCCAACCACCCTGAAATATGATTAATCTTACCCCATGTTTCCTGCATTCAAGATAAATTTTAATTAATTTTCAGTGAATGTGACAAACACTTTTATTAATGATGAACATTTATCAAAGCTTTTAATTTTAGATATGCATAATGTCCAGTGAGAAACCCCAATATTCATATATTGAGAAAATGAAATACTTGGAACACTACAGTTATTTATGTAATTAAAATATTCCACCTTTCTGCCCAGAAGGCCCTCAAGGTGATTACACCAGGGTAGATGAAATAATGTTATTTCACTTCCTGTTGACAGCAACCAAAATAAAACAGTCATAAATTATCAAGTCATTGAAAGATAACTATATTACAAATAAGAAATATTAAAATAACATTTAAAATAACAAAATAATAGAAATTGTATGTCCTAATGTTTCAACTATTTCATAAAGTTCATGCTAGTATATTTATGTTATTGTCTTGCACATAGTTTTTTTTCCTTAATGAATTTTTATGGAATCACATTTTGTCACATCCTAAAGAAATTTAGCTTTCAATAGATATCCAGTCCATGGTAAACCCATATATCAGTTTATTTCTTTCATTGTTTGGGAAAAGCAGTGACTTAGCAGGAATATCTCATCAAAAATAATTTATAAAATTCATACACTGTACTCTGTACAAGATGGTGAAAACTATATCCATTTTAATTCTGTTTGCATCATTGTATGCATTTATCATCTACTCTAAAACATTCTGAAGGTATTGCACACTTTTACCAACTACAATAAAAATACCCTAAAATTTATGAGATTATTTGGCATACAGTTCTGGTTTCCTTTTAAGATAGAAACAATGATAATTTTTAAATAGTAGTGAACAATATTCTTTTCCTTTTGTTTTTCTTTAGTTTGAAGGAAAGACTATCTCAAAAATAAATGACACTGCATTAGTCTTCCTATCTCCGCCAGTACTGGAGGATCCAGAACATTATCAAATTTTTATACTTATTAAAATGGATGGTCATGTGGTGGAGCGTCAAGACTTTCAATACGTTGCTGATCCAACTTTTGAAAACTTTACTGATGGAGTCAAAAAACAAGTCAACAAACTTATTCATGCAAAGGTATTACGAAGATTACTGATTTCTATGTTATGTGCTTGATTTTTCTATTTTGACCTAGGAAGTTTTTCTATAAATTTATCCTGATACTTTTTGTTAATCTCTTGGTCCTATAAGAGTAGCTTAGTAAGCAAGACAATAGATTATAAACAAGATCCAGCTTAGTCAACAAGACTCTAGTATGTCAACTGCATTGAATATCTTATCTTCATATAGTTATCAAACCAGCTCTTCTCTTTTATGATAGAAGTGTGATAGATTAATGTAGATTAATGTGTTGTTCTTGAAATTTCTGTTTTCCCTTGCCCCATGCACCCATAAACCCTACTTTGAAATAGTCTTAAATAAGCTAATAGCTAAAGTGGCTCATTTTGCCTTTCTATCTAGGGTAGTAATCTGAACAAAGCTATGACAATGGATGAGGCTCGTGCATTTGTAGGAGAAGAACCCTGCAACATAACAACTCTAACTGAGAAGGATTTATACTGTGAACCACCTGAAGAACAACCTCCACCCAAGCAGAGGCAAAAAAGAGATACAGTTAATAACCTGCCAGAATTCATTGTACGTCATTTTTCTATATTTTTTTTAACAATGTGATATAGAATGTAATACAGAAACTTGCCCTTACCAATAATTTGGGTTTCTCTTAAAGTGGCCACCAGTGATCTGCTATGATACAAGAAGAATTAAATTTGGCAGTGCAACAATCTGGCTGGGTTCATTTATAGCATTAAGCATAGTGTGACCTGTCCAGTGTTGGCACAGTATGCTTATGCTGCCATTGTGATTTATAAACTATGGTTCTGCTTGGTGTGTGTGGTAATTAGTCCAGTATGGTATGTTCAACAAACCATGATTTCTCTTAAACAAGAGCCCCAATTCCATTTGCTATTATTACTTGTTTTCAGCAACATACAAGGAAACTGTTGCCTGGGAGTTCTGGAGGGTGTCAGTTGGGGCAAGGTTTCTATAGGCTGAACCTTTGGCTTCCATTCATTAACAGAGTTGTCACCTCAGTGAAACAGGCATTCCAGGAACCTTCAGTCATATAACTAAGTGTCAAGTCCTCTTTAGTGTGAATTTAGCGTGTATCTTCAGTCATATAGCAAATCATGTGAAGCCAAGTTGAAAAATGGTGGCCACCAGTGATCTGCTATGATACAAGAAGAATTAAATTTGGCAGTGCAACAATCTGGCTGGGTTCATTTATAGCATTAAGCATAGTGTGACCTGTCCAGTGTTGGCACAGTATGCTTATGCTGCCATTGTGATTTATAAACTATGGTTCTGCTCGGTGTGTGTGGTAATTAGTCCAGTATGATATGTTCAACAAACCATGATTAAAACCAAATACAGTTTACCATTTATATATTACAAACGGGGTCATCAGTTAACTTTCTGGGGGACCATCTTCTCTATGTGAACTTGCCTGTCGAAGTGCTATGTATATGGACATGTTCCTTGTCCCATCATCTGCACGGTTCTGGCAGTCCACTTTCAGAAGTTATTCTCAAAGTTTCTTGCTTTTTTGGTTTAGAATATGGAACAAGACTTTTTAAATTTGTCATGCTCTTAAACTCCCCATAATTTTTAATTATTCATTTATTTATAAAACTTACATACTGCTTCATTCACAATACACTCCTTGTGGTTTACATATTTTGTGTAAATGTAAACAGATCTGTTTTAAATTCCTTGACATTGTTTTAGCTGATTTAATGTTCTTGTTAGTTTGTTCTTGTTTTCATCTGGAAACTGTTTTAAGTGCCCTGTAAGGGCTGAAAGTAGGACTGAAATGTGTAAGATACTCTGATGCTAACGATGGATGTTATTATCATTTTTAATACCATTATGATTTGGACTAAATTCAACCTGTGTTTCTATATTCCTTATATATGGGTCATACCTTATTCTGACACTTTCCTTTCTTATAATGAGTGTAACAAATGTTTTTCCAGATTACCTTTCCACAACTGGTGCATTCCAGATGTGTTGGGAATGTTTCTCCCAAACTGTTGACTATGCCAGTTGGCAATTCTGAAGGTATAGTCCCATTACATCTGGAATATGAATTGAATACACCCATGAGCTGGTATTACAGTGGTGCCTTTACTTACGAACGCCCCTACTTACGAATTTTTCAAGATACGACCAGCTCCGGCCCCAAAAATTTACCTCAACTTGCAAACTCGCCTTGACTTACGAACCAGATCCGCGGCCATTTTCCGCCCGTTCCACATGGTCCGCGGCCATTTTCCGCCCGTTCCACGTGGTCCGCGGCCATTTTTCCGCCCGTTCCACATGGTCCGCGGCCATTTTCCGCCCGTTCCACGTGGTCCGCGGCCATTTTTCCGCCCGTTCCACATGGTCCGCGGCCATTTTCCGCCCGTTCCACGTGGTCCGCGGCCATTTTTCCGCCCGTTCCACATGGTCCGCGGCCATTTTCCGCCCGTTCCACGTGGTCCGCGGCCATTTTTCCGCCCGTTCCACATGGTCCGCGGCCATTTTCCGCCCGTTCCACGTGGTCCGCGGCCATTTTTCCGCCCGTTCCACATGGTCCGCGGCCATTTTCCGCCCGTTCCACGTGGTCCGCGGCCATTTTTCCGCCCGTTCCACATGGTCCGCGGCCATTTTCTGCCCGTGCCACATGGTCTGCGGCCATTTTTCTGCCCGTGCCATGTGGTCCGCGGCCATTTTCCGCCCGTTCCATGTGGTTTGCAGCCATTTTCCTGCCCTGCCGCGTGGTCCGTGGCCATTTTCCGCCCCTGACACATGGTCTGCGGCCATTTTTCCGCCCCTGACACATGGTCCGCGGCCATTTTTCCGCCCCTGACGCGTGGTCCGCAGACGCCGGAACAA